AGTAAAAGTAGCTATTTAAGAAAATAATTGTTAAAATTACAAATCCTCAAAAAAAAAATACCTAAGTAGGTGTAACTGTAAATGTTCTTAGTTACTATAAACCTTAGATTCTATTAAATGTAGCAGGTACTTGTTGAAGTATTCCTATTCTGAGTAGACCACAGATTTTTAGATGAAGAAAACACAGATAAAACATGAGTGCTACTCATAAAGGCTCAGCTAAAAGATAAATGTATAAAAAAGCTAGCAACAAACTGTAAAAAGCTAACTAAAACAAAATTCTTGATAAAAGCCAAAGGAAGCAAAATGCTAGTTATTAACAGCAAAGCRCTAGATAAATGCTAAAAAAAGAAAAGGCTAGCTAGRAGCTAAAMGCTMGCAAAAARATCAATGTAGCAGAATGGTAGTGAAACACTAAGATGAACTGTGGTTACATGTATTGGAATAACACCTAAAAGTAGCACAATAGAAGCTAAAAGATGCAAAGMAGCTAAAAGTAGTAGAATAGYAGCTAAAACTATAAATAGCAAAATWTTACCTAGAAGATAAAAGTAACAAAAGAAAACTAGCTGAATGCTAAAAGTATTTGACCTGTAGCTAAAAACCAAAAGTAGCAAAATGATAGYTATRAAAGTGAAAGTAGCCAAAGCAYAGGAAAACAATGCAAGTGAAACTGTTTCCCAAAAGAACAATGATTTTGAAGAAATTTAATCGATGGTTGTGATTTTCTGTGGCAAAAATATTTGTAAATAAAGTTCAATGTTTTATTATAAGTATCAGAGTTACAAAAGTCATAGTAACCATCTTATAAATGAGCCAAACATACTGATAAATGAATGACTAAAATGGTTCAAGGTATGCTGAAGTGAAAAAGAGAAAACAATAGAATGTGAATCAGYATCCAAACAGTGTATACAGCTCTGGAAAAAAAACTAAGAGACCACTTTAAAATTATCAGTTTCTATGATTTTACTTTTTATAGGTATATGTTTGAGTAAAATGGACATTGTTATTTTATTCTATGAACTACTGACAACAAGTCTCCAGAATTCTAAGCAAAATTTAATATTTTATTTGCAGAAAAGAAGAAATGGTCAAAATGACGAGAAAAATGCAGAGCTTTCAGACCTCAAATAATGCACAGAAAACARGTTCATATTCATTTAGAAACCATTCAAATGGTTTAACTCAGGAAGAGTTCAGAAATATTTGATGGAATGCTTTCAACCAAACTATGCAGTGGTCTCTTCATTTTTTTATTTTTTATATTTGCTAGAGCTGTATATATATTATAACTAGACCCACCTCTCCTTCTAAATTCTTGCTTCTTATTGTTTCCAGTTGGACCTGACATTGAGTGTTCATCTTTTGCGTTACCGGAAAAGGAAACCTTGGAGGGAAAATGCAGAGTGACAGGAAATCCCATCCCTCATGTCGAGTGGCTGAAAGAAGGACGCCTCGTAAACGTGACCGTCCCTTTGTCAAGAAACGATGCAGGAACATACGTGATTAAAGCCGAGGGATTCGTTACAGTTGATAAGAACATCACAGTTGATGTGTTATGTGAGTCACATTCATTCTTAACTACTAACAAACGTTTCACCATGAACTGATGTCGTTTTGTACAGCTAGACACAAAGCTTTGACCAGGTTGTTGTATAACTACTGAATGTTGTGGTRAAAGAAGAGCTAAGAGCTTTACTTGCATTATAAATGGAAAAAATACAGAATGTGAGACACATATTTAAAAACACAATAWMTAGCAGTGGTTCCCAAACTTTTTGTCTTCTGACCCACAAAATATCCATGGCAAAAACTTGTGACCCCAAATATTACTGGTCTGAGTACACGAACAATAATAATAACCCTAAAAACACAGGCTTTCTGACAATATAAACAGCCTATACACAAATATAAATACTTATTTTTACTTATTTTGGGTTTTTGTATTAATTGTAGGGAAAATATTACAT